AAACCAGTTAAAATTAGAAAGGTATATAATAAATTTATCATTATATCAAAAAAAAAGCTATATCACGTCTCGTTTAATGAATCGGATTAAAATGACAAAATTGACGCTACGCGTCTCGTTTGAATATAATATGTCCTGAACTCGGATTTAATAAAGATTCGGATCATTAACTGTTATGATAATATATATTTTCATTGTAAACTATAGTTTACGGACAGTAAACTATAGTTAACAACAGTTTAATTTATAACTATATTTTACATTTGTAAACCATATTAACGCGATAATCTATGTTTCACAACTTTAAACTATCTTAACACCGAAAACAATCATTTGCGATTGCAAAACATAGATTATCTGATAAATACATTTTAAATTTTAACCTATAGTTTACAAACCGTTAACTATAGTCATATACATCTATAAATATAGCACGATTTGTGAAACTATGATTAATTAACTCTTAACTATAGTTTACGATTGTAAACTATAGTTTACAACAAAAACCAGCTATGTTTATCAACAAAATCTATTGTTAACACTGTATTATCAGACAGAAAAATTTACCACATTATCATTCGTAAACTATAATTAACAACCGTTAAATATACTTTTACAGATGAAAATTATACTTAAACTATTGTTAATATCAAATTACGGTATGTAAACTATAGTTTAACTGTTCACATAAACCTAGTTTATCAATTGTGAAACTAGGTTTAGCTCATTTTTGTGAAATTGGCGTGCCATATATGTTTTGCTCATTTTTGTGAATTTGGCTGTGTCACCTATTATACCTTAAAAAGGAAAATAATTCCTAAAAAGTGTCTTTAATATAAAAGGGTTTGTTCCTATTAGAAAGTACGGTAATAGTTATAAAATTTCTTACTTCTTCCTGTATAGCGTGACAAAATTCATGAAATGAAATATGACAGTTCATCGCTCGTTTCTTTAAGTATAGCACACGTTACGCTTCTATTTCTACATTAAAACATATGTCACGGACACTTAATGCTATTTACTATCATATGTAAAATCAAATCAGAATCTTGTAAACAAATTATCAAATTGGCCACATCCTAGCTGATGTAGGATGATTTATTTAAGAACCACAGCTTAGTTTTGATTATGCATATTTATAAATACAGTATACCAGTGTTACGTGACAACTTTTTCCTAGCATATCATATTCAGTGCAGCAAAAAGAATTTGTCCTTTTGCAAAATTCCCCATTTTGCGATTGCAAACTCCTGTTACTGCAAGAAAGGGGAAAGTTTATCTGTTTTCTTGCTGATGAAATTACTTGTCTTAAAACACCAAGCAAATGAAGTTATAAAGGGTGTAAAATACGTTTATGATGCTTGTTTGTCTAAGGACATTTTTTCTATCGAAGATGACCATACATGTATATCTTAACTTTATAGTCATATAGAAAACATCAATATGTTCCGTTATTTTCTTTTCTTGAAATTTTCTGTACAATAAACATTTCAGATTAATTTGTCGAAATCTAAGAAAGCTGTGATTCGTTATACCCAAATTCAAGCTACAACTTCGAAACTAAGGTCATATTTGGTGACAAGGGTTGCTTGTGACCATAAGTGTATCATGTTTGTATAAAGAGGTCCATTGGTCAACGCCACAATTTTATAAGGCCCCAAAAAATCAAATATAAAAAAATCATTAAAATTCATATCCTAAATCAAAGACTACCTGTGACGAGAAGTTAGCTGCAGATCTGTAGGTCACTAATCTAAAAAGCTGGGATGAACGACCCTCATTTTTAATCAAGGCACTTTGTAGATTCAATGTCACAAATTACGGTAACCATACTTGGGAGGTAGGGGAATGCTAAATGGTATAACTTTGTATTAAAAGAGCATGAGAGGAGATTGTGTATACTTTGTATGAACACAGTGGTTGTTCATAACCTTAGGATTGGTAACAACCTCATTTTCCAACTCAACATATTAGGCCATGGGATTTAGAAGAAATTTCTTGGAAGTTAGTACGAATTTTAGGGTTCTCTTTGTTTAGTTCGAAATTTAAACTGCGTAAAATTAGAAAGGAAAGTGAAACAAGGATTTTTGTGATCTTTTCTTTTTAAAAAGCTAAGCAAAGAATTAGTTTAATGAATCAAATTAAAATGACAAAATTGAAAATTTTACACGACATGTTCAAATATAATATGTCACTGACTAGGATTTAATAAAGATTAAATATTAACTTTGTTCTTTGTCCTTTTTTATTTTCATTCAAATTATTCAGAAAACTGACAGTTAAATGAATCTAACAACAGTCATTAATTTATAACCCTTCTTTATACCTGATTGCTCCTGTCATCTAAGGGATAGATTTATTCCAACTTTAAATTACTCTTGTCAATTTCTGAAGATTTATTATAGCCAGCCAAAAATTCAATCCCTTAATAGAAGTGGAATATTTTAAATTTTAACCTGAAAATGTTTCAAACTCTAACTGATATTCATATAACCATAGCAGAGCTGGGATCGCATTGAGGACAAACTCCAGAAAAATAATTAATGACTTATTGATCATATTGTCAGTTTGTTCATGAATTGAAACAAAAATCAGCTACATAATTACAACAAAAAATACTTTCTGTGGCAATCACACTGTCAATATCATTCATCAACATTTACCACATGAAAGCAGCTAATTCGTAAAGATGTGTTAATCATACTTTTTTCAGAGGGAAATTATCTCAAACTATTGTTTATGATCAAATTCCCCATTCCCATGGTCATTTTCCAGCTGTAACTGTTCACATCAAACACCAGCTGTTCCCATCTTGGAATTTTAAAAATGACTTTTATATTAGCGGGCATGATAGGAAATGACAAAGTCCTATTCTAAACAAGCTAATTCTGAGAATCTGTGTCACCTGATTTAGGAAAAAAAGAAAAGTATGCACATTCTAAAAGGGAGAGGGGGTCCAAAGGGGATGGACACTTTAAGAAGGGTAGGCGGACCCATGGAGAGTACAGGTAATAGTATAAAATTTCAAGATTAGCTTAAAAGCTTCTCTAGATATAGTTTTATATCAAAAACATCCCTCTCTAGCACTTAATCTTAAGGGATAGTGGAGTATACTATATATGAGACACCACTTTAAACTCCATTTTACAAAGAGCATTTATAATTTAAATAATATTTATTGAACCGTTGTACATGTATATGAACATTTGTATAAATAAATAACAATACAGAAAGAACAATCACATTAATTAGGTCACAAACTGTACTGTCCAGCAGACAGTTATTACATGTTTTCTTGAGATTTCTTGAGCAAAATCAGGATAAGGTGTCTCATCCCTCACACTTTAATGTATTCATGGTAAAAAAAAAAATGGCATTAACTTCTACTGAATACAGATGAAAAAGAAAAGGTTGTCCCCCTTTTTTGAGAACAAAGGAGTGCATATCTACATTTTAAAAAATCCCTTATATTTGGCAACTTTTTAAAAACAATCTCAAAACACTGGTTCAAATGACTTAATATTGAAAGGTTCAAAATATATATTTAAATTATGGATATCTGGGAAAAGTTTTACAATAGGAGTAAAATATAAAAGAAATTGCACTGATGAAGAAACATAAAGTATAAAAGTTATTGCCCTTTGCATGTTTTCTTTTAATTATTGAAGATATTTCCCTAAATTATTGTACCAAATGATATTTCTATTCACCCATTTTAACACATATTTCCACAGATTTATTTCTATTGGGCACACAGTTAAATTAATGTAAGAATTTGCAAAATAAAAATCAAAAAACATTTGACATCCTGGATATATCAATCAATCAAATTAAGGTGGAAATGTCTTAAATCTGCTTGAAAAACCAAAAGTTGACATTTAAGAAGAAATGTAGCTTCTTCTCCTTTCATATTAAATGAGTTATCCTTTAAACATGCCAATAAGAAAATTGTTAGAACAACAATAAATTTTTATGACTTGTTATATATCTTAAAATAAGTATTGGTAACACACAGTGGCCAGTACATAAATGTCAGAAAATCTATACTGGTTCACATTAGGCCAAGCATGTATATTAAGGTTGACATATTTCCATTCATCTGACCTGAAATATTTGAGCATATTTGAACAAATTAAAATTTCATAAATCAGTTACACATCAACTGCTAAATAATCACACCAAAAAAAAATAGTCACCATGTTTTATCTTGTCACATGCAATTGAATCCATCATAAGCACTCTCCATCGTAAATGGTAAATAAAAAATTTATTATATTTTCAATAGTGAAACACTGCAATTTATTTTCTTTGAACAAAAGTAATATTTTCACTCGCCAAATGATACATTCAAAGTAAAAAAAACTAAAATTGTGGCAAAACTCTGGATTTTCCTTCGATTTCCCTGAATGAATTTCCATGAAAATAGCCAAAAAATGTCACATATTCGTGAATTAATTTCTATATAAACCTAAGAAACATTTTCAGATCTAGGAATATCCTCTTTGTTTTATCTACAACTGAATAACATTCAGAAATTATTGCTTCTAGGCTATATCAGCACTTTGAACAGAAGTTAAAGCTATATACTTATAAATGGATACTGATAGATACAAATGTATTTATATTCACAAAGACAGGAAGTGACACGAGATCCAATCAACATTTAAAACAGAATAGGCAAGATATTTATTCATGGTGTGTTTCAATTTGTCAGATGAAATGATACTTTCGAAGGATTAAATTAACAGTTCTTTACTATTGACAAAATCATTTGAGCATAATATTTTTTGTAAAAAACTTAATAAAGTTTTGATATTTAAGATTAATTATTGTAGGTTTCATTTAAGGCTACATTCATGTATATTACATGAAATATATCGATAATCCAAGCGTAAAACAACGTGCGCGCAATGCTACCGCTTTTGAGGCCTGAATCTCCCTATTTTTCATCACAATAGGTTAACATGTATGCATTTTACTAATAAAACTACTAATTTTAAAACACTTTGGATTTATTACAAATATTCAAATAAAGAACAAACAAACAAATAAACAAAAAATATGAACAAATGTATAAATATTTGGAATTCTTTCAGCTGGTACTTGTATCAACATAACTAAAAAGCAATATCAGGTCTTTGGAACCAATTGCAAAAAACTCTGTATCCACTTTGTATCACTGTGGTTTGGATTTGAAATAGATTTTATAGAATACCTTGCCTGCACCTCGCACCATGAGGAATAGCCAGTAGATTTGGGGAAGCAAGATGACTAGACAACCAATATTACACTTCAAGGGGATCCCAAGGGGAACCTGAGAAAGGGAGATACCTCTGTAAACTGCATATCTCCAATACAAAAATGGGAAAACCAGCACACGAGAGATGAGGAATGATGCAATCATTGAAAGTCCGGCCACAATGTAGTACCATGTGTGTTTCATCTGTAACTGTCAATAAAAACATAGTCATAGGAATCAGGATCAAATAAATGTGCATATTGATTTCAACTTTATGTAAATTCTCCACAAATCACAAATGTCACTTGTCTTGCAAAAAATATAGCATCTAAAATGTTGATGAACTAATCAACCCCCAAATACATAAAAAGGAAACAAAAATCTTTGAATTTGAAGATTACATAACAATGTGCATAAATGACAAACCTATCAGTGATGATCTTTATCTTTTTTTTCAAAAGTTAAAAAAAATTAGAAATTATTATTACTAAATTTTGCAACTTGTTTAGGCTATCTAAATTTAATTCCCTGGTTCTCAGGCCTATTTTCTCCAAAACAGATGCTTTTATTTTTCATTTTATTGGCAATAAAGTAGATGAGGGAGGTATTTTTTTTAATTTTAATTTCCGAATTTTCTTTAACATAGAGATATTCTTTTAATCACAGATATACTTTCCATTTCTGGTCAAAATTTCTGCTTTATCCACTGCTTAAAAAAACATTAATGTACTCGAAATTATTAAAATCTCATTGTCATGGCTACCGGAAGTGATATTTGAATACTAAACTTGAGGTTTTTTTTTCCCGGAAATACCAACTTTTTATTTTATCAAAAATTCAATAAAATCGGCAATGCGGCTAAAAACAGATAAAAAATTTCAATTTTATATGGCCTTAAATTCAAAATTTTCAATTGAGAGTAAAAAAAGTTATCAATAAAGGCAGATACATTTAAAGAAAATTCTGTGGATTATACATATACCCCAGTAGTAGTTATTTTATTGTTTAAAACAAATACCTTTCTACCTCAATTTAGTGATTGATCTTGCTTTTTGAATGGCAGATAAGTATAAAACATAGACATTCCCCAAACCAAATTTGAGGTTGAAGTAATTGGATTCCATTTATTGGTTTAATTTGATTTCCTTTTTTGAATCAGGAATAGACACCTGTGTCATGCAGTTCAAACTTCAGTTTTCATTTTCACTATGATTGATTATTGATCATTTGTATATGATATATGTTTAACAGCTGATTCTGAATTTATTCATTGGTGTATTGTAATCCATCAAAATTTGGTTGATGAATATTTAGCCTTCAATTCAAAGAGATGAAATTTTGGACTTAAATACATAGATCTAAAAGAAAATCCAATTGTTTTTATGAATGAATTTTGAATTTCCTCAAAGGCAATCATTAAAATGATGATTGAATCATGGGCTAAGTATATAACCATCAAAATCTAATTACTGTCATGTTAGTAAGTAAATTTGCCTGTCCTGGCTTAATTGCAAATGAATTTGAAAATCTTACCACACTGTAATTTATAATACATGTATGTTAATTACTGAGATTCTGAAATGTCATATGTGCTCCATAAAGTGCACCACAAAAGGTCTTACTTGAGAAGGTTAATTGATTTCAGTGTTACCTGAGCTAGAATCATTCTTGCTGAGATAAAGGGAATGGTGAATTCACACATATACAAAACTCCAACAAAAAAGTCTCCTAATCCTTTACGGAAAACCTGGAAGAGCAAAAAACAATAGTCTTTACTTCAGCATTCTAAGTTTATAAAAGTTACATACATGTATATACATGTAGTGTTCTTTGAATACAAAGAAATGTAATTTTCACACAAACTGACCATATAAAAAGCTTAAAACTTATTTTACAAATACAAATAAATGTTTGTACATTCTTTTCCTTAAAAAGCTTCTGTGATGTGTTTTTTAACATCAAGCATAGTCTTATCAAAGTGTTTACAATGTAAAATTAATTAGACAGCTTTAAGATGATCTTTCAACAATCTAGTTACAATTTGATAAACATGTAAATGTATATAGAACTGCATTAAACTGTGAAGAAAATTATAGACAATACTTACAATTATTGATGGGAATAAAATTAGAGGCAAGAGAAGATGATGGCACAGCATTGCTTTAGAGTTTTCAGCAAAATGTTTAAGTCTTTGTAGAAAAGGTCTGGCTTGTACCTCAGGTTTGGTATAGATATATGAAAAGTACATTGCAAAGGTGTCATAAGTGAAATAGGGTATCCCAAAAATTGCATATGTATTGGTCAGCCAATGTCTGAAAAAGCAATGAAAAGAGAAGTTATAGCTTAATAAAATCATAAATTGAGGTGAAGTATTTTTCAGTTATCAGCATATTTTTACTAGTAATCTTATGACTTCAGAATTTGATATCAAGCATGCATTTCTAAGTGTCCTGCTCTAAATTCTCTGTACCTGTATCTTTCCAACATATCCTTTGCAATAAAATGATCATTAAAATAGTGCATATAAGATTTAAGATTTAAATCAAACATCTTTTTAAACTTTTTTATAAAATATATATATATACATCAAAACATGTTTATAACGTACTGCCAGGGACCGACAATTTTGCTTCCCTATAAGCTACGTAGCGTAATTTGATACACAAGATCTGTTATTTGTTCAATATATTATAAATTCAATGGGAATGAAACATCTGATTCATTACAAGCATGTTTGCTATAGGTATGTTTTACGGTGCATTTTAGGCAGCTTTTTGCATATACATTGTATATTTATGCAGCTTACAAAAGAACAATAGGGGGTATATTTCAACCATTATTTTTGGTTTAATAAATAAATGCTTCTAAATAAAAATAGCAATATAAATTATCTGACATCAAACAATGCTCCAATTGCATTCTTTGACTGTAAAGCCACAGTGATATTCCAAATCATAAATATTTATTATCATAGATATTATGATATATTACAAAGTAAATAATAATTTTGAAGTGACATCTACATGCCTGTAATATTCATATACTTCTGGAAAATACAATTTTCATTTGTCCTTTCAAAAATTATTTTGTTCATCCTTTTTCGGTTCTTTCTTCACAAATATCAATTCAGTTCTAGAAAGATTCAGAGTGGAGAATAAGATTCAGAGTCGGAAAGAAAATGAAGGAAACAAAAATTTGTTAAAAGGAACAAACTAAACAAAACAAAGGTATCAAAGTCATATGAATATCATTCATTTAGCATGTTTAGAGGAAAGAATATTTGTTCTAATTTTTGTCAAGTGGTTCATAATACATGTAAGCAGAACAGAAGACTGAAATATTTATCTATTGAAACAAATGAATAAAACAATTTACTAATATTCTAAATGTACATGTACACAAAGAATTAAAACATATATCTGAAATGAAATTGGAGAATTTGAAATGCATGATGAATGACAAAATGAAAAAATCTCAAATGCTTTACAAAACACTCCTTCTTCTAGCCAGTGATGCTGCAGATGCAGTGTGTATTTCTAAAAGCAGGTTTAAAGTTGAATAATAGGTGATTATATACATTTTTTTAAAAATGCTGCAATAGCAAGTATGGCAACCTAGGGCACAACAATGATGCATCAATCACTGCACATATATAACAATAAATATATGCACATATACAGGCTAAGGCAAGGAATTCATTGGACTAAACTTGTCAGAAGTACTTCACCGTATCTTGAACTTTGTAGAATCTGCAAGTGTTCAGCATATTGTTTTGAAACCTTGAGATTTATGACATCTTTACATATAAATGCTTTATTCAAGAGGTTGATTGGTTATGTAGAGAAAAAAATGTTTTTTTGGAGGAATCAAGTTAAAGCAGTAACATATACACACCTGTCTGTCATGATTTCTTTTTGGCACTTGATTGCTATTATTAAACCAACAACTGTTGCTACTGCTGCTTGAATACTTGAAACACACCTGAATTATCAAAAACAGAGACTAAATGATAGTAAATCCAAATTATAATGGATATTTCTACTGGCGATGGAAGTTATAATTAATGTAAATATTGAGTATGTGTATGTATTAAAAAGGGAATCATTCCCTTTTTATACATGCATATACTCATTGACAATATTTACATTGATTATAACTTCCAGTGTGTGTGGAAATTTCCATATTAGACAATACAAAATTTATAAAATGTGCATGTCAATCAAATTTTGATTTTATTATCAATTCAAAACTCGCACCTTAACATATTTTAATTAAAAATTACAAAATGAAAATAGCATGGCATTTTAACTATTTAGTTCCTAACTTCGACATTCACTCCTCCTGACACAGTGACAGTTATTCTGTCTATCCAAAAATACTTACTTCTCTGTAACATTGTGCACGTCACCATCTGTAAGCTTTGAACCAAAGAACTTATACAAAGAATATCTAATTATGACAAAACATGAAGGAAAGAATATGCAACCACATATGAACACGCCTATTTCCTCCATGTTTGTTGATAACTACCACTGGCCAATGAAATTTATCGTATCAAAAGCGCTTTGGCAAATTTGTTAAAGATTTAGTGTATACCAAACTCGAATGTAAAACATTAATTATAATTATTTACTTTGTTAGTCGTTATAGTAGTCTGCTAAAGAATATTCTATACTTTTTGCAACTTTTTATCTTCATGAGTATGAATTCAAAGGAACCAAATAAATAAAGAGATCTCCTAAAAGCAAATTTTAATTAAAAAACTCCAAAATGGAGGGTAGAGAGTGCAAGGGGTGGAGTCTCTTGTGTAAATGATGCAGGAGGTGGAGCATAGTGCTTGTCGTAAATTTAGCAGCTTATTAAATCATTTTAACTTGTTTAGTACATTACCAACAATTAAAAAAAATCCATTGAAGTTGAGTGAATGAAACTCATTTATATCTCCCAACCTGATTTTGTGATGACAATTTGACAGTATCTGATGACATTTGTTTATAAAGTCTATAAAATACCAAATCAGAAACAAAGAAACAAGAAACAGTAAAACAAAAATAATGATTTCAACGAGGGGAACAGTTTTGCTGATTATTTAATTTTTAAAGATAACAGAGACTGACTGCAACAGAATAGCATCAAAATCATTATCTTTTGGTGATATTATATACAGATCAATATATGTAAAAAAAACAAACTGATATGTAAATAAAGGTTTCAATTAATGAATATCGGCCTCATTACAAAACACCTATTACCATCTGAAATATCTGATTGCTGTCGAAGACACTGTCCAATGTTGGAAATGTGCAGTGATGTCATTATTTACTCAAAAATATTATCCCAATATAATCTACTGCACACAAAAACATTTTAGAAAAATTAAAAATAATTAGTTAATAGATTCAGTAAATGAACTGATTGTTTTATTAGAGAACTCTGACCATTAACTGCTTTTATTTTATTTTATTGCTCTAAAAAGAATGAGAAACAAACAACATGATAGAGAAACAACAAAAAGAGAACCGAAATGACCTATACATTGTAGATACGAGAAACAAATGAAGGGCATGTAGCCTGTGCTTTTGATTTAAATTTTGTTATGAGGTATAACAGATGCTAAGTGCAATGGAAACTGTCTGATTCACACTGCTATCTCGCAGTAACCCAAATTTGACAGATTTTATTGGTATAGATCAAATATCTGAAGGGCAAAATGTTAAAATTGCTAAGAGCTAGATTACCTAAACTTCTGGAGAAAGATATATATAAATTAGTGTAATTATTTGTTGTTAACAGAAAGTCATGTTATCTTTTTTTGTGCTAAATTTCATTTTCAGTTGTCATTTAATTGTATCTTCTTTTTGTGGTTTACACATGTACAGAAGCTTTTGCAGCTTTTACAGCAATGTGAAATATACTTTTTAATTGTTGATAATTTGCAGACAAAGTGATCTGCGATGTATAATGCATGACATAATTATCTGCAATAAAATTTTTGGGACATACCGGTATCTAGACTCAGTAATTAATTCTGACAAGCACTTTTTATCACTGATGGAGAGCTCTACAAGCAACCCAGTTGTATTCAGTTTCTAAAATGATTGAAAGATAAAACGGGTAAATGTATTAAAATTGACACAAGAGGCTCCACCCCTTATACCCTCTGACCCTCCATTTTGGAGTCATTGTGGAGACTCCATCCTCCGCATTTTACACCAAGCCATTTTGAATCAACTTCCGGTATAAACAATGAACAGCAAACAGAACTGAGAAGAACAAGTGAGTAAATAGTAAATTACAGTAAGCAGTGTGGTAGCTATATATATATATTCGTTTTAAGCTTGACAAAACATATGTACGGACAATGCACCCGTATGGAATGAGGACTGAAATATGAAAGGGTACTTGTCCTCTTTTGGGTGCTTATTTTTTGCAGAAAAAAAGAAATGGTGGAAGGAATTAAGTATAATTTTCAAATCTTTTGTTTTGATATCTCTAAGAACTGTTTATTGTTAGATCCATGTATATCAAAACAGATGGGGCGAACCAAGACAAACAGTGGAGGAGGGGGAAGCAGCCAGAGTCCCTCTACATCTGATAGTTCTACCAGCACAGCTGTCGCAGAGACTCGAATCAAAGACCTTCTAAAAGAGTTGTATGGCCTAATTCATCAGATCCAGGTATCCCCCCCCCATTCGGTAGATTGAGACGAAATGTAGTGGATGTTTAAATTAATACTGTATACAGGGAAATTTTCGCCACCATTTTATTTTCGCCCTACCCTCATTTGGACGAATTTAAAACGAGGCAAATTCAAAGAATACAGTATACCATATAATCCCTATTAACCACCCGGGGTGCTTAGAAAATTGCAAAATGGGGGCGGTTATTTTGGTATTCTCTTTGTAATATTTCATATTGTATCTTAACTTCAAAAAATATTTTGAAAAAAAAATAAATTCAAAGAATCTCTAAATTAATGTCTAACTTTACTTTAAATGAAGATAATCCATCCAAATTACGCTAAATGAATCATTTTCCACCAAGAGATCGGATAATAAACAAGTTTCATTTTCACTTCCTTCAAAGTTTGGCAGACTTTTGAAATGATTCTAGGTAATTTTAATCACTGTACAGGGGGCCCTTATTTCCTGACAATTGAAAAAGACCTATAGTAAGGTGGCGCTGATAGGGGCAGGGGCGGTTAATAGGGATAATACGGTAATTTCTTAAACAAAACTATGATTGGACGAATTTAAAACGGGGCTAAATTGTTTGCAAGTATGAAAGGACGAAAATTACACGGGGCGAAAATAACCCTGTAGACAGTAAAAAGATTTTGAATGGATTAATTCTCTCCAACATGTCCAATGCACCTACCAGTAATCGTTGTCACCATTGAGTTACATGAATTATTTATGTTAATTGAGAGAATGGAAATGTAATATATACTGTATGTAGGGTAATTTTTGCCCCATGTTATTTTCACCCTTTCAGGTACATGTGTACTTAAATACACTCACCTTTGAGTTAGGGTAGGGTGGAATGGGCAAAAATAAATTGGGTGAGAAAAATTGCCCTGTATACATGTATTACAGTAATTTTTCAGAAACTTACTCTGCTTTTATTAAGTGGGAATAAGTGGATCATTGATCGCCATATAGTTCTTTTCTTGTACTTTTTCTTTCTTTTTGAATTGACATAACAGTATCATTAAAACTGATATTTTGTCTATGGAAACTGTGTTTCTCAGTAATGATAATTTGAATTTCATATCTTTTGATTTGAATACCATGCCACAATGTAATGGGTATTATTTTTCTGGTATTATCTCTTTTTTACCTTATCACATTGGGAATATTAAACAGGATGAAAGGGCCCAGGGTGAGCACAATCTAACAAACATCTCTAAGACACACGAGAGAATGCAGCAGGAACAAAAAAGTAAGAATGAAAGTAAGCAATCATTTTTTTCTTCTTTCTTTTATTAATTTGATATTATTACTGACACTTTTTACTCATGAATATGACTGTCATAGTTTTATCGATAAAGTTGAAATAATTTTTTATAATGATTTATTCAGACATTTCATTATACTCAAGGTATTATAGCATTTAATGCTACTGGATTACATATAATGTGCATGTGAAAAGTGCAAAATTTGATATAGAACAGATAAGACAACATTAACTTTTATCTTAAATAATTTTGTCATTTTTTTAGTAACACCATACTACAAGAACAAGCTGAAGGGCCTGTATAAGACAGCCATGCAGGATGCTGAGTTAGAGGCAGAGTACTGTATCAGAATAGTCCCATTTATCATTCTTCTATAGAATAATAATTGTACTCAACTACTGTTAAGTCTTTAAGTGTTGAATTTTCGCAGGCAGTGTAAAATTTTGGTAGTTTCATTCAGGATATTTATAATTGTTTATTTTTTTTCCTTATTACATAATTTATTTTGTAAAGTTGAATTTAATTAATTCAGATTTTATTAAAGAAGATTGAAGTACAAAACATCATCAATAGAATATGGTGTTATGATTAAATACACAGTAGTATCAAATTTTGCAGGTTGTTAAGAAAGGCTCTGGACAAGATAACAGAAGTGAAAAGCATCAGAGAAACAAGAAGACTAGGTAAGTACAGTCACTTCTTATATTTAATTTTTATTTGTGAGTCAGTGAATATCAGCAAGAGGCTCTTTGAACCAACAGGCAGATAAATAATCAGATATGAATTAGCTAGAAGTTTTTTGTACCACTTGGTAGAAAAGCAACAAGTGAAATTCAATATCTCCTTAGAGATCCCGGTGTCTTCCCACTTAGCCAACATTTTGAAAAAATACAGGTAAAACACAGGTAAATCTGTGTTGGCTAAGTGGGAATGGGGTACAGGAGGAGAACAAAAGAAATTAATTACAGGTAGGCTATAGTCTGTTTTAAGATGAATAAAATATTTATTAATTTTTGTCTATTTTAATTTGATGTTTTTATTTAAGAACAGTTACATCAGATAATCAAAATAAAAAAAAACTTTCTGATTATTTTATGTAAAGATAGGGTTATTTTGTAAATTACATAATCATGCACATTTCAAAGTAAAGATATCAAGGATTTTTAACAATAACCCATTTATTTGTCGACTTTACATTTAGAGAGGAGAAAAAATTTAAGTCAATTAAACTCTAGAAACGCTAGGTTTTACAAGTTCAAAATTGGTGAGAATTTGAATTTAAACATATATCAGATTAATTTTACCATGTATATTTACACTTGTATATTTACACTTAATCCCTTTTCACATTTTAGCTCAGATATGCCATATAAACATGTAGATTTAGGTATAATTCTTATAAAATAAAAATGCATAATTCATTGGTTATATTTAGATTGTATATAGTCTTTCCTTCTTTTATTGTTTTAAAAATGATAAAGACACAATATGCTGCAACATGCCTATTTTAAAATGTACAAACATTGATACATGTATTTTTAATTGATTCATTTTATAATTTTTTAATTCATATTAAAATATTCATTTTATTTGTATAGTTTTACTCTACTATGGAAAATGTCCCAAAATTATTTAATAATTTAGGGGCATTTTCCATAGTAGAGTAAAACTATACAAATAAAATGAATATTTAAGCTGGTGTCTTCATCAGATAATAAATCACATTGCATCAGCTTTGATTACTGTGTTCATAAATTACCATGATCAAATATTACATACTCAGAAATAAATAATATTTCTAATCTCAAATGTTAATTATATTAGAATATTCAAAATTCTCTCACTTTTCTTTTTTGTTTCATCATTAAATACTTCATTTCTTATAAAATTAATTTTATAATTTTATTAATATTTAATTTTTCAAAAACTGCAGATTTTACAATATTTACAAAAAAAATTCTGGAACTTTAATTTTATTACTCTGATTTTATAATTATATTGATTAAAATTTTAATTTCAATTTATGTATTTTTACACATTTCAATGGTAGTACGGTAATTCTCGGGTAATCTATATAATTATACTCATACCTGAAAACAGACTATAGCCTGTTGGTCACTCAGGTGTAAAAATCAAAATGTTGGCTACAGTATGTGGGAATAGGTTTTTTCAAAATGTTGGCTAAGTGGGAATAAACCGAGATCCCTAACCAATTACACTTTCTTGTCATGGACAAATATGGTTTATTATGATTTTTAGTGCAATGCTGCCTGGATCAATATTAATATCACTAGTATTCAGTGAATC